ACATGGCGGCAAAACGTCGTGCACATGTTGCCGACGAACATTTTCTCGATCCACTCGAAATGTACATCGTTCCGACTCTTTTACCGGGCCGTTCCTTCTTCAAAAATGTCTACAGAATCCGATCCTGGGTAGAGTTTTCGTGCTGAACAAAAAACTTTTCGTAAAAATACAAAAATATTGCGCAGAAACTGCTCACGTCGACACTTTTTTAAACTTTCACATTAATTTATTGCTATTTAGGATAAAAAACAATTAATAAATTGCATGCCACTATATTCGGGAAACTCTCCTCTATCTTTTAACACCAATTAGAACCTTCTAACGTTTATACTTTTCATGCAATACCTCATTTTTGTCGAAAATTTTGGGTTTGTACAAAAGTTCGTTTATTTAAAAAACTGAGGGTGATGGAGCAATTCGGTTTTCGGATTCTTGTTCAGGAAGTGAAGCTCTACAAGAATTTCATAGTGGCTATAGAAACCCAGAAAAAAAGTTTGATTTTGTCAGACAGTGTAATTAAATCATAAGATTTCAGTAATAATTTTCTTTGAATAGATTGTGTTCTTAAATTATGTTGTATTAAAATTACTATAGCAAAGGGCAAGTCTACAAAATGTTAGTAAATTAACTTTGCTCAACAGGTTGGTGGTAAGAAAAGCAGCTGTATAGCTAACAATGATGGCAAGGGATAGACAAGAAAGAATAGGTAGAAATAGCGATATGGAGGCTTTCCCTAGCAGTTAACTTTCCTTTTTCGTGTTATTAATTGATTCCGTTAGAACTCTCTCTTTCTTCAGATTCCAGTGATTAGCTTGTAAATTCTCTAAACCGTTTAATATTTCATACATATTCTACTTATTAAGTTATACATAATCAAGTTTTATTTTTTTATACACAAACTAGAGCCTATTCAACAACATCATTGAAATTGCAAACACTCTTTACAGAAAATAATTTGGAGGACTAATGATGTAAACAATTACAAAAATCAGTCGCTGGTTGAATTGTAAATCTTCTTATATTCTACTATATGTATATTTACATAAATACTGTGTACAGTGACACCTGTTTACTTACTTGTGAAGGATAACTAGCATTTTATCACTATTCATTATTATTAACTTGACTGTTAGTCAACTTCTCTGAGCGCTTCGCGAAATCAAAGTATACACACTGATCCACCTAATGCAATAACTTAACAATTAATCGTAAATTATTCCCTGCAATATACTGTATCAATAATTTACGAGGAATTATAGGTCATTGAGTCGAGTGATTCACTCTGTATATAAATAACAACTCACTGTATTAAAGCTGACTCTAATTGATTTGCATACGTCTCTTGTTGTTACATGGAAAACTATAAATGCTTCCGTTTTTGAACGATTTACATCTACAGTTCGTTTGGTTTTGTGATTACTCTGCAACGTTGTTTACATTAACATACCTCGTGTGTCTACTCTACACGTATTCTGAAAGTATGCAGTAGCGAAGCTACATACATCGATTCATGGTGAATGTTCAATTAAATCGTATTCGGGATATTTTGGATTTTGAAAACGTGAAATTTTGATAATGTGAAATGCTTTCGATAGTTGTACTCGGTTTCGTATAAAGCGTTTTGTACAACTAAAAATGACATTGTGGATTAATTCGTAAACGATTATGCTTCTCTCGTTAAAAAGAATTATGTACAAAACATACAATAGCCAATTATGCGAATTCGCTGTTAGAATGGAAGATATTTAATATCGTCATAGTTTTAGAATAATTTATAACAAAAATTCATTTTTTTATAGATCAATAAGGTCTCACGATATTCGCCATCGTTAAAGTTGCGCTGCATAATCAATAAAAAAATGAAGAATACTTGGACAATTTTGGGTCCCAAATTGATTCACTCGGTACATTTGATGCACGCGATTTTCTTCTTCATTTTTCTAAAAAAAAGGCTTCCCATTATCATGCCGATGCACACCGAACATCATAAAATCTTAACGACGTTAAACAATTGCAACTTTGCATACCATTATGCGCTTAGATCTATTATATACAATGATATCATTCAGACAGAATAAGTTTTAATAGTATTCATTTGAATAACAATAAATTAAATATACTTCTCGCCGTATTTGCCGAAAATGTTCAATAGCAACAATGGTAATGAGCCAGAAAATGTATAATTGTACATTATCTCGAAACTCTAAACTTAATATACCTGTGGCATATGCACTAATCCATCTTGTTGTCTAGCGATACACTATATTAGATGGATGCAAGTAATCCTAACTAGCTATGGAAAATCGTTTTACCGGTTGGTAGAGGTAAAACGGTTTTATTTTAAGTGCTATACGCGATGAGCTACTTTGATTTCAGAAAGAAAAATAAGAGAACCAAAACACGGTTGCAGACGATTTCATCGATCTCGACCTATCCTTTTCCGTTACATTTATTTTTCTCGATCGTTAGACTTGCATCGTTTACTCATTTACATCGAACTTTAGGTATTAGGTGTTGTTTTTGTATAGTGATCATCTTATATCACACGAAGTGAACGATCTCTAATATAGTCTTGTGTAACTCTTACCTAGCGACATTTACAAAATTTCAATGAGGTCGTTATAAACGACAAAATAAAAATTTCGTCTCCCTTTCTCTCGCACACGATGCGTGTTAAGTAACTAACAATGTCCATGAAAATTTGGCGTCACGTGGTTATTTACTGGGACACGAGGTCTACGTAGTTCGCAGGATACAAACCCACTCGGCCATCTTTTCTTCCTTTACACCAGCCCTGTTCGTCTTCGTCTTCTAATTTCTCGAATACATCACCTGTACCATAACAAAATATCTCGATCAATTTTTTAATACACATATCTCTAAATAATTCTCGAATCAAATGGAAACATCCATGAATGCCAGAAAATCGAAGTAAAGTCGTTCCTTCGATTCTTTCTATGGAAGTTCAATTGGAAGTGGAATTAGTTAAAGTGGAATCACGAAAGTGTAATTCGATTTTCAGTAATGGCCCTGAATATGTACCTTGTTTAAAGCTAAGCTCGTCCGCTTCTGCTCCTTCATAGTCGTACAACGCACGCACAGGAACACCTGGTTCTCCATTGTCTACCAATGGTTCGCCGACATCTTCATCCCATTCTTCTTCTTCGAACGGGTTCGATTCTTGTTTAGCATTAGTGCCGTTTCTGAAAGAATTATAACGATTACGTTGGAACCACGCACTCTATTCCCTACAACTCAAATAGTCTCGTTCGACAACGATAACTTGAATTTATAAAATCGAGCGGTTCATATTAATTCCACCTGACTGAAAGAAAGGTAAAAAAAGAAAAAAAAAATATATATATATCATGAATACTCACGTAATAGTAGAAGTTCTGTTTACGGTGTTGCCATCGTGATTATTCTTTTCCGTAGAATGTTTGCCGGAACTAATTGTTTCGGTTTTGCTGTCTCCGTGACTTCCATCTGTTGATATCACACGGGAACTGGGCTTCGACTTGGATTTGTTATTAACCGGCGGGAACTCCTACATAGATCGAAACAGAACGATTAGCCGCGCGAATCAACGATGCAATTAAGCACGCTCCTTTCGCGTGTGCTCGTCAGAGTTTTTTTTTCGGCAGCGAAGGTACACTTTTTTTGTCAGTGTCAGTGGTATCTCGTCGTCGTGTATGCGTGTTGTGGCGTGACACGGGTGAATTTTGATTTACGATTGCAATCCGATGGATGAACAAAGCGAATGCGAATGATTTCTCACGATCAGTGAATTTCTGAACTGCGTTCGCCTGTTATTTTCAAGCCTGACACAATAATTATATGACGATACATTTCACGCAATGTATGTTAAAACGACAAGTTGCATTTAGAAGAAAAGTTAACGAAGTTTGTGCATTGAAATGGAAATGACGCGTTCGATGGTGCCTCGTATGATTCAATCTTTCTCTGAATTTTCCAATATGCGATCGATATCGTGCGGTAGAAGCTCCAGTAATATCTTGGATATTACAATGAATTAATATTTATATACTTATATAATTTTATATACTTTATGGTGTATGTGAATTATGCGAACGAATGCTGGTTGCAAGCATGTTTGTATTGTATTTTTACGTCGATGATACGTGTCGTTGGCAGCTTTAATTCCAGGCAACTGTGAGCACAGAACAAATTCACCAAATTTTCATTGAAAATTTATATGCACGCACTATTGCAAGAGAACTTAATCTCCATCGGAATTCCATCCGTGCAAATCAAATCTGAAAGTGGCTTCTAACTGTTAATTAGCAGTCCTCAATGGGTCGATCGATATCGTGACTTTATTCTAGGAGTTTCGCGCAGAGAATATTTGCTCGTGTTAACTTTAGCATCGACGATTATGCAGATTTCAATTACCAAGTTACCATAAGCAATACTTCTCCGCCGCAATCTGTAGAAGCTATCTTGAAAAGATTCGCTGCACTTTCTTGCAAGTTCGTTTACTTTCCGGAAGTGTGTCGTTCCGTTCAAAACAGAAACAGGGCCAGACTCGGAAGGGTTGAACGATCGACGCAAAGATCACAAAGATGATAAATTTGCTCCGGCGTTTAATAATAAAACATGCTCGATATATGTACATATAATCGTGACATAGATTCGAGACGCAAGAGACCAAGCACATAGCGGGTTACGGTTAATTCAGTTAAGTTAGCGAGCCAGAAGCTGAAAAAGGAAACCCATCCGTAGTGACCTCGCCGTAACTGTCTGCCGTTACGACACCGTTTCGTAGCTGTTTGACGTGTAAAAAAGCCGGCCGATAATAATCGGTATACAATATGTGCCTAAACGACATCATCCCCCTTAAAAAGATACGAGAAGAGATGGGAGGAAGCGAGAGAGCGAGAGAGAGAGAGAGAGAGAGAGAGAGAGAGAGAGACCGGGTGGATGGCGCAGGTACCTGATCGCGAGAAATGTTGGTGTAAACAGAACAAAAACTTTACATGCAGGTCCTCGCCGACCGGGCGTTGATTGATCAGCGTGATGGAGCCAGCCGGAAGTGCCTCCTTCGACTTCGAGCCCTTGGTGATGTCACGGAACTCCTCTGTGTAGTCCTGCATAATAGCAACGCCCAAAAAACAATCACATGCATGCATTCCAGAAAATTGTCTCGGAATACTGTTTCGAGCTCTTGTCTTTCTTGTCTCGTTTCTCGTAAACGATAAATAGAATCGAAATAAGTGTACACAGACGATTCGAAGGGAGAACGCCATGAGTTATTCCGCCGAACGTATTTAACCCTTGGAAATGTGATTTTAGACTTAGCGCACGACGAGAGAACGTTGCGAACGTAACTTCGAAGTGGGTAACGCGAAGAATAAGCAGTACAAGATGGATTCGCGATTCGAGAAAGTCATTTTCGACGCGAGCAAAAATATTGATTTTGAAGCGAATATGTTTAATTCGATAGTTTTGTTCGAGATATAGGCCGTGGATCAGGGAACACCGAATGTCGAAGAATAATCGCAAACTGTTATATCCATGCGAGAACATTTGCCCACAGAAACTTCACATAGAGCGTGACAATCGCCGTAAAAAGAAGAAAATATGTACATTTGATCGCGATCAGCTTAATTTACTGTGTGGTTCGTTTGGAAACTTTTGATACTAAAATAACACGGTTTAAGGAGAGCTTTAAGGTGTTTGTACCAAATTTTTTGTCAACCTTGTTTTTCCGGATTTATCGAGGTTTTTTTTATAGGCGAACCTACAATTTTTTTTTTAAAAGTCGGAAGAAACTATGTGACATAATGCTTGCTCCCTAAAAGATGGGTACAAAAGAATTGTAGGCCAACTTATAAAAAACCGAAGGTGACCTTGATAACTCCGGGACAAAAGGGGTTGATCAAAAATTTGGCACAATTATCATAAAGCTCTGTTCAAACCACTTTCATTTTCGTTCAAGAAATTTTCAATCGAAACTCCAGCAGCAGAATAAATTAAGATGGTCACATTCCATGGTTCATCCTCTGTATGAAAATAACGGAACGGGTAAGGGTTAAAAACGCTGGTCGAAAAGAATTTTGATTCAGTTCCGAGAACAAACTACAGCAACTGTTTGCATTTTCAGTGTACTCTATTGAACGTTTATCTTTGTTAAATAATACATTGGAACTAGTACGGCGCAGCCTCAACTAAAAACGGCTTAGAATATATCGAGACATACGATAGAATCGCTAATGGATAAAATTAATGCAGTTATAAAAGGGACAGAACGAGAATAATATATATATCAATGCACTCTACGACTAGATTGTCTAACATCGGATTTCCAACCATGAGCAGGGGCTTACATGCGATAAAAAGAGTCGCCGTAACGCGTAACGATTTCTCGATCTTACCTCGAACTGCGGCCAATTCATCGCCATGTTGACACCGTGGTTGTTCGACCACCATTTCAGATCCTTTTCGTGGTCCGCGTTATTGATCGTGTGATAGAATTCTTCGTATATCTGAGGAAGTCTGTAACCAAGAAAATATTTACCTTCTAACACCCAACTTCAATGTCAGACCAATTATTTCTCAGTAGAAAGAATACGTCATGCCTCATTCAGGCTCTATCGACGTGTCGTGCTGCATTCGTTTGTGTGTGTGTGTGTGTGTGTGTGTGTGTGTGTGTGTGTGTGTGTTCTATTTCATAAAAATTCTATTCGCGTGTTCTAACGGAGACGCGCGCATATTAAATACGGTAAGCATCCGACGAGCAAATAGATTCAGATTAGGTCAATATGGGATGACTATCAAGAGTCCCAGCGAACTATTTACTGGCTAAGTTTAGAAAGATTAAGGGCTTCTTGATCCCCCCCCCCCCCCCCCCCCCCCCC